CTAAGTAAATCTAAAACAATAGATTGAATTATCAATTAAAAATCTTCCACAAAAGAAAAGTCAAGGCTCAGAAAATGTCACTGGCATGTTCTACCCAAATTGAACAAAAATTGCTTACAAATCTTTCACAAAATCTACCAGAATGTAGAGGAAAGAAAGCTTCCCACTTGATTCTATGAGGCAGTATTACCTGATGCTGAAGCTAGACACATAAATTTAACTGCAGACCAATATTCTCCAGACGTTAAGATGCCAAGAAACTCAACAAAATACTAGGAAACCAAATCCAGCAACATATAAAAAGGATTATACAGTTTGACTAAATAGGACTTATCCTAAGAATGCAAGGCTGGTTTAATATCTGAAAATCAGTTACTATAATACATTTTATTAATAAAAGATGAAAAACATGCTCACTAGAATAGATGCAAAAAATCATTTGAAAAAATTCAATACCTATTGATTCGTTAAATACCTCAACAAAGAAAAGACTGTCTTCAACATGATAAGAGCATCTATGAAAATTCTATAGCTAACATCATAATAGTGAAAGACTGAATGATTTTATCTTAAAATCAGAAATAAGATGTTTAGTCTTACCACATCTATTCAACATTATCCTGGAGGTTCTATCCAGGGTGTTTAGACAAGAAAACAAAAAGGCATCTAGAAAATTAGGAAGTGCAACTGAAACTGCCTTTGCAAAAACTGTAACATAATTATTACAGTGAAAGAGATCTGACCTAACCGACTTCATTTTGCTTCTAACCGGCAAGAACTGTCCTTGTTCATTCCTGGATGTAGGCTGAACTAACTTTGGGAGGAACTTAGTTCATTGTTTAACTTTTAAACAAAGGCAGTAACAGCCCTTGCCCAAAACAAACCCCCTTGTTGGCTGGAGACTAGACTGCCTTTGCAGGACTAACAAATTAGCCACAAGATTAGAAATTACGATTTAGGAGTCACTGTTGTAAAACCTGAGATCAGTGCTTGAGATATTTTGTAGACCCTGCATTCCAGTGCACCACCTGGATCGATAAATTAGCTTGCCTGGTCTTGTGGTCGGCACCCAGGAACTGACTCAGCACAAGAGAACAGCTTTGACTCCCTAAGATTTCATCTTTGATCCAATCAGCGCTCTCTACTTTCTGACCTACCCACCAAATTATCCGTAAAAACCCCAATCCCCAAATTCTGGGGGAGATTGATTTGAGTAATAACTCGTTCTCCCACAAGATATGGCTGGCCTTGTGTCAAACTCTTTCTTTACTGCACTGCTGTGGTCTTCATTGTGCAGCGGATGGACATAACCCATTGGGTGGAGACAGTTAAAAAACTCTGCATTTCCAGATGACATGACTTTGTATGTAGAAAATTATGAACAGTTCACCATAAAACTGCAAGAATTAATAAACAAGTTCACTCAAGTAACAGGATATAAAATCAGTATACCAAAAATCAAATGTATGTCTGCATACCAGCAATTAATATTTTAAAACTTAGCCGGGCACAGTGGCTCACTCCTGTAATCTCAGTACTTTGGGAGGCCGAGGTGGGCAGATCATGAAGTCAGGAGTTGAAGACCAGCCTGGACAACATGGTGAAACCCCATCTCTACTAAAAATACAAAAAAAATTTAGCTGGGCATAGTGGCATGCACCTGTAATCTCAGCTACTCAGAAGGCTGAGACAGAATTTCTTGAACTCCGGAGGTGGAAGTTGCAGTGAGTCAAGATCAAGCCACTGCACTCCAACCTGGGCAAAGTTTATTGTAGGGATGATGGAAATGATCTAAAATTAGATTGCTAGAGTTCTTTATATATTCTACATATGTCTCATTTAATAGATGATTCATAAATATGTGGATAGTTCTATGTCATTGTGTCACGTGGAGGTTCCTGCATGAGTGCACACCACTACTTCATGACACAGAACATTCCATTACCCCAGCAGCTCCCTTTTCAGTTACACTGCCCCATTCTTCCACTGTACCTGGCAACCACTGTATTTTTAGTAAAGATTGGGTTTCACTATATTGCCCAGGCTGGTCAGAATTTCCTGTATAAACAATAAAAGTTGACTTTTTCAGTTTTAGTAATATAAGTATTTTTTAATTTGTTAATCATTTTTTATCCTTATTTTTGGTATATTTAACAAAATTTTAAGTGTATGCTTATTTGTATTGTGCATGTAGGTATGTTTGATTATGTTTAAAACGAAATACAGAACCACAAATTAAAGGAAATGTATTTTCCTGTTTAACACTGAGCACACTGTATTTCGTTAGGCATTTTCTACACAAAGTAGGTACCAACTAGAATTTTGTTTGATAGTTGAATAAGTGTATATCTTAACAAAAGTACTAATCTTGGAGTCCTACACAAGTTGGTGAATTCCCTGCCTTTTTTTTCCCCCTTTTTAATCGAGATAAAATTAACATAACATAAAATTTAGTATAGAAATCTAGCCAGGTATAGTGGCCCGTGCCTGTAGTCTCAGCTACTTCAGAGCCTGGAGTTCAAACGTTATGGTGCACTCCAGCCTGGGCAACAGACCAAGACCCTGTCTCTAAAACAACAAAAACAACAAAACCCATTTTAAGTGTACAATTCAGTGGGTTTTTTAGTCCATTTGCAATGTTGTGCAGCCATCACTATCTAGTTCCAGAACATTTGCATCCCCCTAAAAGGAAGTCTTTTACCCAATAAGCAGTCATTTTCTACTGTTTTCATGCCCCATACCCTGGAAACCACTAATACGGGATTTGCCTATTCCAGATATTTCATATAAATGGAATTTATATAGCCTGTTGTGTCTCTCTTTCATGCAGCATAAATTTTAAAAGTTCATCCATGTTATAGCATGAATCAGTACTCCAGGGTTTTGCGGTTATTTTTAATTAAAGAGCATATTTACCTTTGTAAATTTACCTTATTTTCAGACACATTCATTTTCAATAAGCTTACAAAAAAAGCCAAATATCTAAATAAGCATTTTATTCTTACAAGTTGTTGTCTTCTAAAGTTATATACTTATTCTAACAACATTGCCATTTCTTGGAATGTTTTTGAGGTTTTTTCCAAAAAAATTCTGGTAATCTTTTTGGAAAAAATTTAAAATATTTTTTTAAATTATGGCAAAATTTACATAACATAAAATTTACTATAGTAACCAACTATTTTTAGGTGTGCAGCTCAATGGCATTAAGTACATTATCTTATTATGCAACCATCACCACCATGCATCTCCCAAACTTTTTCATTTTCCCAAACTGAAATTGTAACTTTTAAGCAATTAACTCCCACAATACTCTTCTTCTGCCAGCCCCTGGCAACCACCATTCTCTTTCTTATCTCTATACGTCTAACTACTCTAGGTGCTTTATGTAAGTGGAACAGTACAGTTTTTGTCCTTTCGTTTCTGGCTTATTTGACTTAGCATAATGTTTTCAAGTTTACACGTATCTCTCAGAATTTCAATTCTTTTTTTTAACTTTTAAGTTCGGGGTATATGTGCAGGTTTGCTATACAGGTACGCTGTGTTTCACTGGGGTTTGGTGTAGAGAGAATTCCATCACTCAGGTAATAAACATAGTTACCCAATAGGTTTATCTTCTGATCCTCTTCCTCCTCTTATCTTCCACCCTCAAAAAGGCCCCAGTGCCTGTTGTTCTCCATTTAGTATTTATTTATTCTCATTGTTTAGCTCCCACTTAGAAGTGGGAACTCATAGTATTTGGTTTTCTGTTCCTGTGTTACTTAGCTAAGGATAATGACCTCCAGCTCCATTCATGTTGCTGCAAAAGACATAATCTCATTCTTGTTTATGGCTGCATAGTATTCTGTGGTATATATGTACCACATTTTAAAAATCCAACCTACCATTGAGGGACATGTAGGTTGATTCCATGCCTTTGCTATTGTGAATAGTGCTGCAGTGATCGTGCATGTGCATGTGTCTTTATGGGAGAACAATGCATTTTTCTTTGGGTATAAACCCAATAATTGGATTGCTGGGTCAAATGGTAATTCTGTTTTACATTTTTCAAGCAATCTCTGCGCTACTTTTCATGATGGCTAAACTAACTTACACTCCCACCAGCAGTATATAAGTGTTCCCTTTTCTCTGCAACTTCACCAGCATCTGTTCTTTTTCTTTTCTTTTCTTCTTCTTCTTCTTTTTTTTTTTTTTGAGACAAAATCTCCCTCTGTTGCCCAGACTGGAATGCAATGGTGTGATCTCATCTCACTGCAACCTCTGCCTCCCGGGTTCAAGTGACTCTCATGCCTCATGAGATTACAGGCATGTGTCACCTTGCCTGGCTAATTGTTGTATTTTTAGCAGAGACAGGGTTTCACCATGTTGGCCAGGCTGTCTTGAACTCCTGACCTCAAGCAATCCACCCTCCTTTACCTCCCAAAGTGCTGGGATTACAGGCATGAGCACTGCGCCTTTTTTTGCTTTTTGATCATAGCCATTCTGACTAGTTTGAGATGGTATCTCATTGTGGTTTTGATTTGCATTTCTCTAATGATTAGTGATATGGAGCATTTCTTTGTTGTTATTGTTGTTGTTGTATTTGGGCTCTGGGGTACATGTGCACGTCCTGCATCCTGCAGGACTGTTGTGTAGGTACATACATGCTATGCTGGTTTGCTGTCTCTATCCCCCCTCAACCATCACCTATGTCAGGCATTTCTCCTGGTGTTATCCCTCCCCCTCCTGCCCACTCCCACCTCCTGCTGTCCCCCGTGCCTTCCCCTCCACTCTCCTGACCTAGCCCTGTGAGTGGTGTTCTCTTCCCTGTGCCCAAGTGTTCTCATTGTTCATCACCTGCCTATGAGTGAAAATACGCAGCATTTGGTTTTCTTGTGTCAGTTTGCTGAGAATGATGGTTTCTAGGTTCATCCAACATGGAGCATTTCTTTATATGCTTGTTGGCGACATGCATGTCTTCCTTTAAAAAGTGACTGTTGCCTCCCTCCATGATCTCCATATAGAGCAAAGTACCCTCTCTAACGGAGGACGAGATGGCTCCCAAGAAACGCCCAGAAACCAAGAAGACCTCCGAGATTGTATTACGCCCCAGGAACAAGAGAAGCAGGAGTCCCCGGGAGCTGGAGCCCAAGGCCAAGAAGCTCTGTGCGAAGGGCTGCGGTCCTACCAGAAGATGTGACTCAGACTGCCTCTGGGCGGGGCTGGCTGGCCCACAGATCCTGCCACCATGCCGAAGCATCGTCAGGACCCTCCACCAGCATAAGCTGGGCAGAGCTTCCTGGCCATCTGTCCAGCAGGGTCTCCAGCAGTCCTTTTGGCACACTCTGGATTCTTACCGGATATTACAAAAAGCCGCCCCTTTTGACAGGAGGGTTACATCCTTGGCATGGCACCCAACTCACCCCAGCACCATGGCTGTGGGTTCCAAAGGGGGAGATATCATGCTCTGGAATTTTGGCATCAAGGGCAAACCCACCTTCATCAAAGGGGCAGCCTGGTATCCTCAATACAACCTCATTGTCGTTGGCCGATACCAAGATCCTCATTTCAAAAGTTGTACTTCTGTGAATTGAGGACGATCAATGTGTTCAATGGAAACTCAGGGAAGATGATGTGTTAGCTCTAGGGCCCAGAATCTTCTGGCATTAGTTCGCTCAATGAGTTCAATCCCATGGGTGACATACTGGCCTCTGCAATGGGTTACCACCTTCTCATTTGGAGCCAGGAGGAAGCCAGGACACAGAAATGAGAGACACTAAAGAAGATGTGGCCAAACAAGGCCTTGGAGCCCACACATGAGGTCAAGTCCTACGAGAAGAGGTGGCAATTTGTTAAAGGGCCTGAAGTATCCACATGTAGGGTTGGAGCAGGGTGCTGGGGCCTGAGGCACTGTGGGACTGGGATGCTGTCATGTTACTGCTCTGGACTGCTCCAGAGTTGGTGATGCAGCTGCTGCAAGGGTCCCTCTGTATCTATCCTGGAATCAAGCTTCTCTTGGAACTAAATGACTTTTCTCCTCTCGGTGTGTGGTAGCAGAGGGATCAAGCAGTGATTTGATTTGTGCTCACTTTTGATATGGCCAATAAAACCATACCCGACTGACAAAAAAAAGTGACTGTTAATGTCCTTTGCCCACTTTTAAGTGGGACTGGTTTTTTTGTTTGTTTGTTTTTGTTTTTTTGGCTTGTACATTTGTTTAAGTCCCTTATAGATTCTGTGTGTTAGATCTTTGTTGGATGCATAGTTTGCAAATATTTCTTCCCATTCTGTAGGTTGTCTGTTTACTCTGTTGATAGTTTCTTTTGTTGTGCAGAGGCTTTTTAGTTTTATTATTATTATTATTATTTTATTTTTTGAGATGGAGTTTTGCTGTTGTTGCCCAGGCTGGAGTGCAATGGCATGATCTCAGCTCACTGAAACCTCTGCCTCCCAAGTTCAAGCGATTCTCCTGCCTTAGCCTGCCAAGTAGCTGGGATTACAGGCACCTGCCATGCCCAGCTAATTTTTTTTTTTTTTTTTTGGTATTATTAATGGAGAAGGGGTTTCACCATGTGGGCCAGGCTGGTCTCAAACCCCCAACCTCAGGTGATCTGCCCACCTCAGCCTCCCAATATGCTGGATTACAGGTGTGAGCCACTGTGCTCAGCCTAGTTTAATTATTAACAGATCCCATTTGTCAATTTTTGTTTTCATTGCAATTGCTTTTGGCATTTTTGTTGTGACCTCTTTGCCAAGTCCTATGTCTAGAATGGTACTTCCTAGATTATCTTCCAATGTTTTTATAGTTTTAGGTTTTACAGTTAAGTCTTTAATTTCTCTAGAGTTGATTTTTGTATGTAGTGTAAGGTAGGAGTCCGGTTTCAATCTTCTGTATATGGCTAGGCATTTATCACAGCACCATTTACTGAATGAAGGTCTGTTCACCATTGCTTGTTTTGTCAGCTTTGTCAAAGATCAGATGGTTGTAGGTGTGTGGCATTATTTCTGGGCTGTCTTCTGTTCCAGTGGTCTATATGTCTGTTTTTGCACTAGTACCATGCTGTTTTGGTTACTGTAGCCCTGTAGTATAGTTGGAAGTCAGGTAGTGTGATACCTCTGGCTTTGTTCTTTTTGCTTAAGACTGTCTTGGCTACTTGAGCTCTCTTTTGTTTTTTTATGAGTTTTACGATAGTTTTTTCTAATTCTGTGAAGAATGTCATTACTAGTTTGATAGGAATAGCATTGAACCTGTAAATTTCTTTGGGCAGTATAGCCATTTTAATGATATCCTATCCATGAGCATGAAATATTTTTCCATTTGTTCGTGTCATCTCTGATTTTGTTGAGCGGTGTTTTGTAATTCTTGTTGTAGAGATCTTTTACCTCCCTGTATTCCTAGGTATTTTATAATTTTAATTTATTTATTTTCTTTCTTTCTTTCTTTTTTTTTTTTTTTTTTTTTTTTTTTTTTTTGAGACAGGCTCTGGCTGGAGTGCAGTGGTACAAATCTAGGCTCACAGCAGCTTCTTACTCACTACAGCCTCCGCCTCCCAGGTTCAAGCAATCCTTCCACATCAACTTCCCGAGCAGCTGGAACTACAGGCATGCACCCCATGCCTGGCTAATTTTCATACAGTTTTGTAGAGACAGGGTTTCATCATGTTGCCCAGGCTGGTCTTGAACTCCTGGGCTCAAGTGATCCACCTGCCTCAGCCTCCCAAAGTGCTGGGATTACAGGCATGAGCCACTGTACCTGGCCAAATTTTAATTCTTTTTATGGCTGAATAATATTCCATTATATGGACATGCTACTTTTGTTTATCCACTTACCAGTTAATGGGCATTTGGGTTATTTCTACCTTTTGGCTATTGTGAATAATACTGCTAAGAATATGACAGTATTTTTAGTTCCTATTTTCAATTTTGAGTTCCTATTTTCAATTCTTTTGGGTAAACACCTAGAAGTGGAATTGCTTACTTTTGTGTGTATTTCTTTGTTTAACTTTCTGAGGGACCACCAAACTGTTTTCCGCAGCAGCTGCACCATTTTACATTCTCATCAGCAGTGTACAAGAGTTGCAATTTTCTACATCTTTGCCAACACTTATTTTCTGGTTTAAAAAATGTTTTAGGCTGGATGCAAGGACTCATACCTATGATCCCTGCACTTAGGGAGGCTGAGGCAGGTGGATCACTTGAGTCTAGGAGTTCAAGACCAGCCTGGGCAACATGGAGAAACCCCATCTCTACAAAAAGTCCAAAATATCCAGGCATGGTAGTGCATACCTGTAGTTCCAGATACCTGGGAGTCTGAAGTGGCAAGATCACCCTCCTGAGCCCAAGAGGTCAAGGCTGCAATGAGCTGTGATCATGCCACTGCACTCCAGCCTGAAAACAAAAACAAAAACACATTTTAAAAAAATTAAAACCATTCTTAAAAACACAAAAACAACAGCAGAAAATTATAACCATCCTAGTAGGTATAAAGTGGTATCTTGTGATTTTGATTCGCATCTCCTTTGTGATTAACGATGAGCATATTTTTATGTGTTTGCTGGCCATTAAAATGTCTTATTTGAAGAAATATCTATTCATGTCCCTTGCTTATTTTTTATATGGTTTGCATATCATTTTTCTTGTTGAATTGGAAGGGTTCTTCATATATTAGAGATATTAACTCATCAGATAGATGATTTCCAATAATTTTTCTTATTCCAAATTATCTTTTCGTTTTCTTGATAGGGTCTTTAGATGCACAAAAGTTTTTATTTTGATGAAGCTCTATTTATCTACTTTTACTTTTTTATTTATTTATTTATTTATTTATTTATTTATTTATTTTGAGACCGAGTTTTGCTCTTGTTACCCAGGCTAGAGTGCAATGGCACGATCTTGGCTCACCGCATCCTCTGCCTCCTGAGTTCAGGCAATTCTCCTGCCTCAGCCTCCTGAGTAGCTGGGATTACAGGCATGCGCCACCATGCCCAGCTAATTTTTTGTATTTTTAGTAGAGACGGGGTTTCACCATGTTGACCAGGGTGGTCTCGATCTCTTGACCTTGTGATCCACCCGCCTCAGCCTCCCAAAGTGCTGGAATTATAGGCATGAGCCACCGTGCCCAGCCTACTTTTACTTTTTTTGAGACAAAGTCTCGATCTGTTGCCCAGGCTAGAGTGCAGTGTCGTGATCTTGGCTCACTGCAACCTCTGCCTCCCGGGTTCAAGCAATTCTCTTGCTTTAGCCTCCTGAGTAGCTCGAATTACAGGCACCCACCACCACACCTGGCTAATTTTTGTATTTTTAGTAGAGACAGGGTTTTACCGTGTTGAACAGGCTGGTATAGAACACCTCACCTCAAGTGACCCACCTGCCTTGGCCTCCCAAAGTGCTCGGATTACAGGCACTAGCCACCATTCCTGGCCAATTTTATTTAATTTTTCTTTTGTTGCTTGTGGTTTTTATGTCATAGCTAAGAAACCATTGCCAAATCCAAGGTCAGGTAGCCTTTACCTCTATGTTTTAAAGTCAGGGTTCATTTTCTTGGCCAGCCCCGAGTGAAGTGGCTATTTACAGGTATGATCAAAGCCAACTGCTCAAATCCTAGATTCAAGTGATCCCCCTGCCTCAGCCTCTTTACAAAAACCCCGTCTTTGCAAAAAATACCTGCACTGCCACCTGGGTCTACTTTATATTTTTTAGTTATTTTCTTAGTGATTATCCTGAGGATTACAGTTAACATTATAATTTATAACAATCAAGTTTGAATTTATACCAAGTTAGTTTCAATAGCATACAAAACTTTGTTCCTACATTGCTTCACCCCTCCTTTGTGTTACATTGCTACAAACTACATCTCCACGCATTTTGTGCTGATTAACATATATTTATAACTATTGTCTTTTAAATCATACAAAAAAGGGATTTATAAAGCAAAAATGCCATAATGCTGGCTTTTGTAGTTATAACACCTTTACTGATGTTCTTTCTTCATATGGCTTCAAGTTACTGTACGTTGTCCTTTCATGTCAGCCTGAAGGACTCCTTTTAGCTGTTTCTGGAGGGCTGATGTACTAGTGACAAATTTCTGCAGTTTTTGTTAATCTGGGAGTGTCTTAATTTCTACTTCATTGCTGCATATAGTTCTGCCAGATAAAATTTTTTTGGCCAGACTTGCTGGCTCATGCCTGTAATCCCAGCAATTTGGGAGGCTGAGGCGAGAGGATTGTTGTGAGCTCAGGAGTTCGAGACGAGTCTGGGCAACATGGCAAAGCCCCATCTTTACAAAAAATACAAAAATTAGCCCGGCATTGGTGGCTTGTGCCTGTAGTCCCTGCTGCTCGGGAGGCTGAGGCTGGAGTCACTTGTGCCTGGGAAGGTGAGGGTGCAGTGAGTTGAGATCACCCCACCACTCCAGCCTGTACTCCCTGGTCTCGAAAGAAAGAAATTTTTTTGTTGTTGACACTTTTTTTCTTTCAGTACTTTAAATATGTAATCCACTACCTGTGGCTTTCATAGTTTCTAGTGCGAATCAATTGTTAATGTTATTTAGAATTTCTGGTAAATAATGAGTTGCCTCTCTTTTGCTGCTTTCAAGATTCTCTCTTTGGCTTTTGATAGCTTGGTTATAATGTGTCTCAGTGCATAAAACTTCAAGTTTGTTGAGTTTCTTGGATGTAAGGAGTCATGTCTTTCATTACCTTTGAGAAGTTTTGGCCAGTATTTCCTCAGATACTCTCTCTGTCCCTTTCGCTTTCTTCTCTTTTAAAACTCTTTTTTTTTTTTTTTTTTTTTTTTTTTTTTTGAGACAGTGTCACTCTGTCACCCAGGCTGGGTGCAGTGGTGTGATCTCAGCTCACTGCAACCTCTGCTTCCCGGGTTCAAGTGATTCTCATGCTTTAGCCTTCTGAGTAGCTGGGATTACAGGCATGCGCCAACACCCCCACCTAACTTTTGTATTTTGTATTTTTTAAATTGTATTTGTTTATTCATTTATTTTGAGATGAAGTCTCATTCTGTTCTGGAGTGCAGTGGCACAATCCTGGCTCACTGCAACCTCCGCCTCCCAGGTTTAAGCAATTCTCTCAGCCTCCTGAGTAGTTGGGATTACAGGCATGTACCACCAT